TAAATTTAATTCCGTGCGCATCGGAAATAAATAGCTCCCATAAAGAAAGCAGATACCTTACATATGTTTACAACATCTTTAATACTTATTCCACTTTTCTGTGTTTTTAACCTGACTTTGAAAAATTGTCTTCGCTTTACATATATAATCCTTTTGAGATATAGATATATATAGATAGATAGATCCTCGCACAAACGAGGAGGGACGTGTGGACGCTTCGTACATACACTTGTATCAATGTGATATCAGAGCAGTCTACGAGCAAAATTCGGTTGTTCTAGCTCTTATAGTCTCTGAGTACTAGCCGAGAAACAAGACGGACAGACAGACATGGCTATACAGACTCGGCTATTGATGCCGATCAATACTACTAAGAACAGAATATATATATTTATTGGCGTCGGAAACATTTCCGTCTGTGAGTTACATACATCCACTTGTGTGCAAAAATACAATATACCCTACATATTTATTAAGATCCTGTGGTTAGTTACCGAACTTAATATATCAAAAAATATCGCATACAAATATGAATATATTGATAGTTAGTCAATAAAAATATCACGATATAAATATATTTTTATTTTCAAAAAATATCGATGTATTGATATTTTGATATATATTTGACAACCCTATCCGAGGGCCTGTCGGTATATTTGATCGATAATTCCGCGGTCACACTGGAACATATTCGCACATGCCGCATTTTTTGCATTCCAAAAAATAAATATCAAAATTCTCTACCAAAATGAGTGTGGAGACGAGCAAATTGTTGATAAAGAAGCTGCCCTGCGACATGGACGAGCTGGCGCAGCTGATACGGGAGTGTAAGCTGATAATACCTCGCTCCCTGAGCTCCTACGGAGGTCGTCGGGCCGTAATCGAATACGCCGATGCCGCTGAAGCACAAAAGGCGCTGGGAGAACTAAACGGGTTAAGTGACATACTGGACAAGCCGCTCTGCGTGAGTCCGTTTGGACCGCGTGCCGCCAACGACGGCAGCCGTGGCAACAAAAGCACCCAGACAAAGGCACCACCGTCCGAATCCGCGACGACGGCCAAGCAGGAGATCAGCAAGTACGTGCAAAGGCTATATGCCTGCAATAATCAGTGTGACTTTACGCAGCCGCCGCAGCCGTATCTCCGCTATAGCTATCCCCCCATCAACGCAGAGATTCTCGCCGCGATTGGCCAATCCCTGCAGGCTGACACGCGCTTCTATCAGCAGGTTTTGCACTTGATGAATCGCATGAATCTCGAGCCGCCTTTCAAAAAGCGCACCTCCAGCCTAGTCGTACAGAGCCACCGCCATAGTGTCGGTATCCAAACGGAGGTCATTCCCAGCGAGAGTGAAAGCGAGTTGGAGAGCGACGAAACAGAGCCAAGGGCCAAGCGGAAATGTCTCCTACCGTCTACATCCACTGCTGCCAAGGAGAAGAATCTGAAGAGAGCGCGACAAATAGTGCAGCAAGCCGCCAGACAGGCCAGTCACCCAAATGCCCAGCAGGAAGCTCTGCCTCCCGCTTTTACGGCTGCCAAAATTGAGCTGAAACTACCGCAGACGCTCAAGCCGGCGATGGCAAAGCCAGAGAAGCGTTTGTCCATACAAGACCTGGAAGCGCTGCCTGTTTACAAGAACTACAAAGAGGGGGAGCCCAGCAACAAGTTGTACATAAAAAACCTCCACAAGAACATCGGCGAAGAGCAGCTGCGCGAAGTTTACTCGCAGTACACGACGCCAGAGAACCTGGAGATCAAAGTGATGCAGCAGGGCCGCATGAAGGGGCAGGCTTTTGTTACATTCATCGACCTGCCCGAACCGGAGGCGATAGCCAAAGCTCTGGGCGAAACCAACGGCCTGCTGTGGGAGCAGAAGCCCATGATAGTCTGCTACGGCAAGCAGACCTGAAAAGAGGTTAGGGTCTCCCGCTAGAGAATCTTTTACAACATGTTCTGTAGTTATTTCAACTGTCATTAACACTTTACGATCTATTCTCAAAACAAACACCAAACTTAAAACTGACTTCTTGTGTTTTTGCAGGCAATTGGGCCTGATTGAGACCATATACGTGGAGGGAGCTCGCCCAGATCCTGCCAACGATCCTGAGGAGTCGCTGAACGAGGCAGACAACACAGCTACCGCCACCGCAGTGCCCATCAAGCCAAAGAAGTCGCGCAAATCCAAGCAGTTGGCCATGCAACCCTATACCTATGCCATTTCGGTCGACTTTGAGGCCACCTGCTGGGAGAAGCAATCCCCGCCACAATGGAGAGAGTCGGAGATAATTGGTGAGTGTCTCCATATTGGGCATTGCAAACATAAGATAATCATCCGTTTCTTGTGACTCGCAGAGTTCCCAGCCGTTTTGGTCAACCTGAAAACGGGCAAGGTCGAGGCGGAGTTTCACACTTACGTGATGCCCTTGGAGTCGCCGCGCCTTAGCAATTACTGCACCGAGCTGACGGGCATTCATCAGAAGACAGTGGAGGCGGGTGTGCCACTGCAGACGGCACTCAATAAGTTCTGCGAATGGCTGCGAAACGAGTTGCGTGTCCGCAACCTGGTGCTGCCAAAGGTGAATAAATCCAATATACTGGGAAACTGTGCCTTTGTCACCTGGACAGACTGGGACTTTGGCATTTGTCTGGCCAAGGAGTGCACACGCAAGCGGATACGCAAGCCAGCCTGCTTCAATCAGTGGATAGACGCTAGGGCCATATACAGGGAATGGTACAAGTACCGTCCCTGCAACTTCGCCGATGCCCTGTCCCATGTGGACCTGACATTCGAGGGACGTGCACACTCTGGCATCGATGATGCCAAGAATCTGGGTGCCCTCATATGCAAGATGGTTCGTGACGGAGCCCTCTTCTCGATCACCAAAGATCTGACGCCATATCAGCAGCTCAACCCGAACAATGGCCTCTGAGCTGCAACGATCAGAGCTCAGGGGTTAGCCATCTGCCACCCCTCCAAACGAGCAGACGGAGAACAAGGAAAACAGAAAACAAATCCATTTTTGTATCGTATTCTATTTAATATAAAATAGCAGAACAACAAAAAAACCCAAGGACATGGAGGATGTTCCTAATCTGACCACAAACCTAAACAAAAGCTACAGAAGTTTCTTGTTTTTATTTTGTATTTTATCTTTATTTCTTGTAACAGCAATTGATAAGACTTGAAATTTGATGTGCGATCGCAATCGCAGTGCATCTGCATAAGGGGACTGTAGCTAAATCCCTACTGCTACACAGCAGGAGTACATCTAAACATCAACACATAGCTATAAATATGGCCTTAGAGCATACATATTTTTCTACCATTCATACTTACTTGGTAATGCTTAGCCGTAGTCTATAATATGGAATGCAATACTTATTTTAACGACTTACACCGCCTACCACTAGGTCATAGGGCATAAAGTAATAATAAAACGACAATAGCTGCATACGTATTATGTGCTGCTGTATTGTATCAAATAATACCAGTACGAGACATCATTCTTTGCTGTGGTGTTTACACTGTAAATCTTCCACCAGTGCATCCCCCGAGAGTCTGTGCATGATGGCCACTTGAATGACGCCCTTCTTGCCTGTCCTCATCCAGTGGCGATCCTCCTCGGTTAGCCACTCCACCATGCAGGTGGGGAGGCCGCAGTAGATGTCCGACTTGATGGCCCGCAAGGCACACACACTGGTCGGAAGGAAGCCGCGCAGGCAGTCGATCAGAGGCGATGTATATTCCCAGTTGATGTCGCCAAGCAGTTTGCGATAGTTGAGGTCCCCCTTGAAGATGACAAGCGCTGCCTCGCTGAGAGAGACGTACAGGCAGGGCAGGAGGTTCTTCATCTGGCTGTAGTCGTGGGGACTGGTCCAGAAGTAGCAGGTCTCGCACAAGATGATCGAACGATTCCGCATGAAGCGGCGCAGTCGCCGTCCGAATGAGGCTATTTCTGCAATCTCGTGTCGGCGAAGAAAGTTCAGCATCCAGAGAAAGTCCTGCTTGGTGACGTCGGAGATGAACCAAGGAATGGCCTTGACATGGAATCGCACTCGACAAGCCAGACCCGCTTCGATGAGGTACTCGGCCAGCAGGAGGTCTGTGAAGAGCTCGAAGCCAGCGTTATCGCACACAATGTCCACATAGACGGGGTCCCAAGCTTCGGTAAGTACTCGCCAGATATCCCCAGACTCATCCACCAGCAGATCAGACTCGTAGTCAGCCATCAGCATCAGAAACTCTTCACTTGGAGCCTCTTTGTTTATAGACAGGTCGCAGCGATTGCTCCACAGAGCCAGCTTCAACATGCGCTGGAAGTTCTCCTGAGATCGCTGCACTCCCCGCATGCCCGTGATAACGATTGACATTAGTTGGACGACACTTGTAGTGGCATCAATCTTTTTCTGGGCAAAGTAGTCGTAACTGGAGAGCGTATCTGAGCGCCGGAAAATGGCCCAAATGCGGCGATACAAATAACATTCGGCGTGTAGCCAGACGGAGGAAAACCAACGATTCCTATCCTCATCTAGATTGCGTATAAACTGATTCCAGGCCTCTGAATCTGGGGCCTTGCCCTGGAACACCTTAAACTCGTGGTTTTCCTTTATCTCATCGCGCAGCAGCTGCAGGCTCCACGAAATCCTTTTCAGATCAAAGTGCGCATAGGCCCCAAAGATCTCCATTATCTTCGGCTCGTTGTCGTGTAGGAAACTAACCATCTCCGCCACCATCATGGGCGAGCGGTGCTTAATCGTGAAATAGGCGAAACTACGCTGGAAATGGCCAGACAACTCTTCGCGCGCCTTGGTTGCTATGTCATATATTAGGTGCCGATCGTTAAATGCGAGATCCTCTGTCTGTTTGAATGCGGCCGAGCGGACGACGACAGAGTCAATGTCCGTCTGGCTGGTCATCTCAGTGGACTGATCCATTTTGTCGCTCAACATTTTGACTAAAACTGGAAAATTTGATGGCTTCCTGCCAGGCAAAGCTATGATTCCAAACTGTGCCGTTTTCGACGAGTATATTTTTGAACTATTCCCTTTGGGGGGGAAATCTCTGATGTGGGAAGAAGCGATAACAATGCCAAAAGCTGTACATCAATAATTTAGCTAATTTCTATGATTACAACAGTTCAACTATTCCTTTCTGTATCCTAGTCTTTGGTTTACTTGCTCGCAAACTGTATGACGCCGTACTCCCCTGTGAGCATCCATTCCTTGTCCTTGGCAAAGAGTTGCTCGGCGACTCCCTGCCCCAGGCCGCAAATCAGGTCAGCTTTGACAGTGCGCAGAGTGCACAGATTCGAGGGACGAAAGCCTTAGAGAGAGAGAGAAATTAATTAACGATGAGAGCTTCGTTTTCGTATGGATAACTCACCCCTCAGGCAGGTGTCAAACGATTCCGTGCTGGGCCAAGAGAAATCACCCAGAAGCTTGCGATAGTTGAGGTCGCCTTTGAATATTACCAGCTGCGCCTCCTGTAGTCGCGCATAGAGGTCTGGTTTCTCCTCGCGCATGCGGTAGAACTCGCAGGGACTTGTCCAGAAGTGCTCGAGCGGGGACAGCTCGAACTTGCCTTCGGCTGTGAAACGCTGCCACTTCTTGCCGAGCTCACTAAGCACAGCATCTGGGTGGTCTGCCAGGAACTGGAGTGTCCAATGGTAGTCGTGAGCCATCACGTCCGATATGAACCAGGGAATGGCCTTGGCATTGAATCGCACCTTCGCCGCCAGTCCCTTGTCAATAATGTATTCGGCCAGAATGAGGTCCGTGTAAACTTCGTAGCCGGCATTATCGAAGATTATATCGACAATTCCATCCCCGGAGGCTCCGTCGATTGCCTGCCAAATGGCGGCAGTGTCGTCTATCAGCAGCTTGGATTCCAGATCTGTGATCTGATCGAAGGCATTGCCAGTGGGTTTCACCTGCTTGCCCGACGTGATGGACAGATCGCATCGGTTGCCCCACAAATTGAGTTTGATAAGCTGCCGGAAGGTATCTGAGTTTCTCTCGTTGTGGCGTGTGGCCTTTGCCACGGCCAGCATGGCATCGACACTGAGCCTAGCCGCAGTTTGCTTCTGCTCCCTGAAGTAGTCAAAGGCGGACAGACGCGGTGTGGCCTGGAAAATGGCAGCGATCTTGCGGTACATGTAGCATTCGGAATACAGCCAGCAGGCAGTGAAGTAGCTGCGCTTCTCCCTGGGTAGCTTCTCTAGGAATGCGTTCCACATCTGCGCATCGGCATCTAAATAGGAAATACTTTAGCTGCGGTACGACAAATGGAAAATGATCACTTACCCTTGCCCTCAAAGGGCAACAGGGGACCGTTGCTGAGAATGTCCTCGCGCAGCTGCGTGACAGCCGCTGCATTTCGCTCAATATCCGCTCCTGCGTCCTAAACAATGGGAGGGAATCGAGGTTACGCATTGGCATTGCCATTGACCATGGGGAATGCAGCAATTACTCACTGCACCATATGTGGCCAAAAGCTCGTCTTTGTCCTTGACCAGCGATGCGGCAATTGTGGCCAAAGTCGATGGCAGTCGCACGCGGAAGGTGTAGTAGGCGAAGCTCCTGTAAACAAGTAATCACACTTCCATTTATAGTACATGTAAAGATTAGTCTGCGCACATACTTAGTATAGCTCGTGTGCATGTTACATATGGACCATATCTATACTAAGTGCTATATTTAGCGGTCACTTACTGCTTATATAGGGCCGCCAGCTCTGTGTGCGGGGGCGTCTCTGCGTCAATAACTCCATTCTTTTTATCAAAATCGGCATCTGAGGGCAAACTCATTTTGAAAGACGTTGAAAGTTTAAAAGGTCGTTGTTTTTGATAAATTAATGTGGCGCGTTTGCGGGAAGAGGCACGGAAACTTTCCGTGCGACCGCGGAGTTATCGATAAAATATACTGTCAGGGCCTTGAAAATACACCTAAATAAACTTTTTCATTTTCAAAATATACCGTAAAATATACAGAAGTTTAATCAGATTCCTTGATTTTGATGTTCTATTTAATATTACTAGCTTACAAAGACTTTCACCACTGAAACAATAATTTAATCCGATTGAAGAATCAATTTTGCTTATTATAAATACTACTTTTTATTGGATTGTATACCTTTTGACCTTATATTTCATATTTATATTTTATTTTCAATGATGAAAAAATTATCATTATCTCCTTTTCTTTTATTTGTATATACTCTCACCTACAACAGATTAACTCTTTGTCTACTCCTAGAGGCCAACCTTCACCAACCTTACAACTAACAACAGGGAGTTGCCTCAAAAATCCATACCCCTGTCAATCTAACTTCGGACTCAGCTGCTGTAGCTCCAGCTCGTTTTTCTGGAGTACCACTCACAGCTGTGATCCCCCGCAAAGCAATATTTGTCTCTCGTCTTATACCAGAAGCCACACCGAAGGATGTCAACTTACACCTAAGCTCCAATCTTAAATCGCCGCCTGATAACTTCATTATAACTAAATTTAATTTTATACAAAAGCGTCATATCTCATAATTAAAAATTCTTCTTCCCGATTCTCTTGTATCCAAAGCTTTGAAACCGTCTGCATGGCCTGAGCACACTATTCGGCATGAATTCAACCTGTTTGTGAACGACCTGCCTCAAGTTATTTTGCACTGAGTTACATTAATGTATGCTGATGACGTTAAAATTTGTTGATGAATTAATTTGTTCGAATAAGCTACTTTTCTTGAACCATTCTAAGTGCAAACTTATGAGTTTGCTAGGACACCATGTTCTGGATTCAATAGGAGTCCTTTTTGATAACAAGCTTTTGATATCCATTTTGCTTAAGGGAATCCTGGTGTTTATTAAGCGTTGGTCAAAAGAGTTTGACGATCCGATGACGTTTGACAATAACTGAAACACAGTATATTGTTTTTGTGTGTGGAGCCCTCCATACAAGGTGCAACACATTCTTGTTGAATCCATTCAAAAACAATGTTTAGATTGGATGTTTTATTGGTTTTATGATGTTTTATTGGATTCATTGCAAACTAAGGCATGCTGCTCACCTTCCTCAGCATGCCCAGCGTGGCAGCTTATCGAGTGGCAGTGCTGCCAGATCAATACAACTTGTTAAGTGGGATTCAAATTTTAATTTTTAATAAATAATTTAAACTGTAAAGCCTTTGGTACATTTTACGCCCTAATATCCAAACTCCCGTGATCCATCCACGAACTGGATGACGCCATAATTGCCAGAGATCATCCAGTGGGGATCCTTTCGGCTCTGAGTCTCACTAACACCCTCGGGCAGTCCGCATATGACCTCCGCCTTGACCCTACGAATAGCACACATATTGCTCGGCAGGAAACCGCGCAGGCATGTGTTCATATCCTGGGTGGAATCCCAGCAAACATCTTGCAAGAGCTTGCGATAGTTAAGGTCGCCCTTGAAAACGATAAGCTTGGACTGCTGCAGAGAGCTGTACAGGTCAGTATCTGCATCGCGCATTCTGGAAACAAAACAAAACAAAGTTAGTGAGGAGGATCCCTAAATCCACACGAGTGTGGACCGTACCTGTAAAATGGGTATGGACATGTCCAGAAATGTGAGATTGGAGCTAATTCAAACTTTCCCTCCTCCAGGAACTGCGAAAACTTTTTGCCAATTAAGCTAATGATATAATCTGGATGCTGACTCAAGTATTCCAGCGTCCATTTGAAATCTCGCTCCGTCACGTCTGTCACGAACCAGGGATGTGCCTTCACATGGAAGCAAACCTTTGTGGCCAGTCCCTTCTCAATCATGTACTCTGCCAAGATAAAGTCGGTGAACAGCTCATAGCCGGCGTTATCCAGAATAAAATCCACTTGGCTTGGCTTATTCTGCTTCCGGTTATCCAGGCACCTCCAAATCTCCGCCTCTTGGTTGGCGAGTATGTATTCATCTGCTGCAATGACATCTTCAAGCACATTTTTATTGAATGGCGAGGGTGGTGGTGCAGGTGTCTCTAGATCTCTGGGCGCGTCGTTGCAGTTGCTCCACAAGTTAATCCTCAGCAACTCCCCAAAGATTTCCAGACTTTTGTCTGTGCGTCGCGTGTACTTGGTGAGCGAGAGTATATGATCTATGCAGCTCGTCAACGAATGCTCCTTGATCTTGACGTGGAAGTCATACGGCCTTAGGAAGATGCTGTTCTCCACAAAGGAGTAAAGTTTCCTGTGCATATAGCACTCGGAATACAGACAACAGGATCTAAAGAAGGTGCGCTCCTCGTCGGGCATCAGACCGAGAAACTTATTCCAAAGTGCACGATCGGGCTCTGCAATAACAAATTCATAAATTACAACAGCAGGAGCAACTACATTCCTTGTCTCACCTTCGCCGGCGAATGCCTGAAACGGCTTGTCCGTCTGCAGCTCGTACTTCAGCCTTGATATGAGGCCAATGATGATTTTGAGTTCCTCGCGGGCTTCCTGTTAAAAACGGATGGGTGCTAGTGATTAAGTTGGAATAAGCGTTCTTATCCGATTACAAACCTCACCGAATTGCTCAACCAGCTCGCTCTTATCCTTGGTCAGCGTGTCTATGACATTCGTCAAAATCACGGGAAGGCGATTCCTCAGAGTATTGTATGCACCGCTCCGCTTATACTGCCCCGACATGAAGGCATTCAGCGGCGTTCGCATGTCGTATATCTTATATTTGGCATCGAATTCTGTCTTGAAGACCCTGGAAACGATATGGCTACCATCTGTTTGTTCCGCCTGGGACTTTGTCTTTGGCTCATCCTCAGTCGGGCCAGCAGACCGTTCCAGCGAAGAACTGTTTGGGGACTCCATAATGACACCTACTGCTACTGTTGTATTCTACAGAGAATTTTTGTGCGACCAGTGCTGCATTTCAGTTTATTTTCGATGGGTTTTTTTTGCCAGAAATTACAAAAAACCAATAAATAACCTGAGTGTTGACTTAGGGTTGTCAAATATTTAAAAAATATCATATCGGTGGTATATTTTGATTAGAAAAAATATCAAAATAATATAAAATATATCAAGGCAAAAATATCGATATATTTTAAATATTTTTGCTTGATTATATCTGCTAAATTCAATTCCGTGCGCATCGGAAATAAATAGCTCCCATAAAGAAAAAAGAAACCTGTTGACATATTTAATACTTATTCCACTTTTCTGTGTTTTCAACTTGACTTTTTCAATTTTTTTCGCTTTTCGTATTTATTTGAGATATAGATTTATATAGATAGATAAATCCTCGCACAAACGACACTTGTATCAGTGTAATATCAGAGCTGTCTAGGAGCAAATTCGGTGGTTCTAGCTCTTATAGTATCTGAGTGCTAGCTGACAAACAAGACGGACAGACAGACATGGCTATACAGACTCGGCTATTGATGCTGATCAATACTAATCTGAACAGAATATATACATGCGTGACATAAATCCACTTTTATGAACAAATAAAATATACCGTATATATTTATTTAGATCCTGTGGTTAGTTAGCGAACTCAAAATATATCGCATAAAAATATAAATATATTGATAGTTTGTCAACAAAAATATCACGATATAAATATATTTTTATTTTCAAAAATATCGATATATTGATATTTTGATATATATTTGACAACCCTACACTAGGGCACACGAAAAAAATGTTAAATACGCGAACCGCCTGATCCGATGTTCGCGAGAAAAAGAATCGGGAAAGCCTTTAAAAAAGGTAACGCTTGACAAACCGCAACCAATGCATACCAAGTAAATCTGTGGCAAAGCAGCAGCGCACCGCAGCGCCCACCCACCCCGCGACACACACCACACACAGTCAGAGACTCCGTCGAACAACGAGATAGGGAGCGCCACTCACACACCACAGCACACTCACGCCCACAGAGACAGGGGACAGAGCGATGTCACACCTACCTGTGCCACTGTACGGCTTCGCAGCGTTTTTCATGATTTTCTGGTTTGGCACCTGGATGGTCCATCTGATAGCCATTTGCTACGGGAAGTACAAGCTGCACAAGAAGTCGTGCAAGTTGCCGCCAGAGTCGTCGCCACTGCCAGGAGTCTCTATTCTCAAGCCGCTGATGGGCGTCGACCCGAACCTGCAGCACAACCTGGAGACCTTCTTCACGATGGACTATCCAGTGTACGAGCTGCTCTTCTGTGTGGAGGACAAGGACGATCCGGCCATAAAGCTGGTCGAGGGGCTGCTGGAAAAGTATCCCCGGATAGATGCCAGGCTCTTTGTAGGCGGCTCTGATGTGGGCGTGAATCCGAAAATCAACAACATCCATCCAGGGTATATGGCGGCGAAGTACGATTTCGTTATGATCTCCGACAGTGGCATCAAAATGAAAAACGACACGCTGCTGGACATGGTGCAGAACATGTCGGATAAGCACGCACTGGTCCATCAGATGCCATTTACCTGTGACCGGGAGGGATTTGCCGCCATCTTCGAGAAGGTGTTTTTCGGCACCGTCCAGAGCAGGATCTACCTATCTGCCGATGTTCTCGGCATTAACTGCCACACGGGAATGTCGTGTCTGCTGCGGAAAGCAGTGATCGACCAGCTAGGCGGCCTGAGGGCGTTCGGCTGCTACCTTGCGGAGGACTTCTTCATCGCCAAGGGCGTGACGAAGCTGGGATGGAAAATGAGAATCTCCAATCAGCCCGCACTGCAGAACAGCGGACTGTGCGACATCGGCAGCTTCCAGGCCCGGCTCATACGATGGGCAAAGCTGCGCGTGGCCATGGTGCCCACGACCATCCTGCTGGAGCCACTCTCCGAATGCATGATCCTGGGAGCCTTTGCGGCGTGGTCAGCCTCGGTTCTGTTCAACTGGGACCCCCTGGTGTTCTACATGGTGCACATACT